TGCTGTGTGTGTTTGTATATATACACGCATATGTACATGTGGGGGTGTGTGTTTAAAAAATAAGATCACACATACATACAAACACACAGCCTAACTTTAATTATCTGAAAGGAGCAGAAAGAGATCTGGGAGGAGCTAGGGCAATGATGAGCAGAAACGCGTTTCGAAAGTGGTTTGTGGGGTAAGTGCTTGGAAATCTCCAAAGGAGATGACCTGGTTAAATGTGACACAGGATGGTGCTGTGTATTTAATTAAACTCTATGGGGCCAGGTACTTGGTGACTCCCAAGAGCTCAGTGCCAAACACCTGGAAGCTAGGCCTGGATGGCCAACACTGGTGTGGGTGTGGCCTCAGGTTGGTTAGCATGTGTGTGAATAAGCAAGCTGTTGAGGAGCTGGTGAGGGGTGATGGGGATGGGTGTGAGGAGAGGGATGGAAGAGGCAGGTGGTGGTGGGTTACTGATGGTGGCTGTGTGTAGATGGGCAGGTTGTAGGTGGACAGGGAAGGGTCATGAGCAAGTGTATTTGTGTGTGTGTGCATGCGCGCACACACGCACATATATGAAACAGGATTGCTTCTGGGGTCTGAAGACACTTCCACTCTAACAAGCACAGCCTACATAATAGTCACCAGGAAGTTGACTAGGACATGCCCAACAGCCAGGTGGTTCTGGTGACTGCTATTACATCCGGGTTCAGGGACCAATAGAGGGCAGTCCTCCCACATGGAGTCCTTGGAGGCACCAAGGGAAGCCCTGATGAGTCTAATAAACACTAACACTCCAGGGCCTTCACATATGACAGGCAGAGACAAAACTGAACGCTTTCCCAGCTGTTTGTGGCCTTAGTCTCTAAGACCCTGGGTCTTAGATCCTCTTAGCTAAGCTTGTCAGGGCAGCTGGGCCAGATAACCTCCTCTCACTCTACCCCTGCCTTGGTAGGTCTCCTTCCTGGAGCTGGAGCTCAATCAAGCTTTGGGGAAAGTTCTAGAAGGAAGGAGTTTGTTCCTGAGTGGGTCACATTGATTTATCTTTCCCCTTAAAGGTCAAGAATCTGTCCAGGGACATCTGAGTTCCAAGTATCTCCAAGGGGGCAGCTGTGGTTAGGGGTCAGGTAGATGTGGACACTCAGTTGAGTCCTAGAGTCAAGAGATGATTGCTTAGGACCTATGCCAGGCAACATAGACCATCTTGTAACCTGGGACAGGGGGTGGGGGAGGATATCAGTGTGCTTTGGGTTCAGGATGGGGTACCTACTGGGTTTGCCTTGATGACCACAGGTCTTTCCAGTGTTAGCAACTCCACCCTGTAAATATTCTAGATCAGATTGTTTTCAGTGTAATACGGATTCCCTGACCACTTCTGGGATCAGATCAACCATGAATTTTCATTTACAGTGGTGCCCACAAATATTAACATGTGGATGTTCTCACAAAGCACGTGAAGTTCTGCCTACCAGAACCTGTGACTACATGATTATAGGACATAATTTTAAGTGTAAAGGGTGAGAGATGGCATCAGAAAATTCAAAGTTTGCCATGGAAAGCTTAGGTTTCTTTGGAGGTTAATGCTAGGGACACACACCTCTCTTCAATGAAGGGAAGTCTGAAGATCTCTGGAGTAAGCAGGTAGATCTGAACACACGGGATACAGAGACACTATAGGCAAGCCCACTACTTTGGGGGCCTTTTTCTGTTGAGGGAGTAAGACTCTCTGCTCCTGGGTCATCTGGGGGCTGGAGTCTAAATGAAGCAGCCCCAGCACCTTCTGCTACTGAGGGGTTTTCACTGGGTAACTGTTCCATGCTCCTATCTCTTTATGCAAAATCCTTGCAAAGTGCAAGATTTCTCTCCCACCTCTTTTCCCACCTTGCCCCCTTTCTTGCTTTTTGTTTCATTCCTCAGCTGCTGCTGGTTCATGGGAGGGTGTATTGTTTTGCTGTTTTTGAGTTGACTTGCTTAAATAATAAACCCACCCTCTTGTACAAGATTAAGCAGACAATTAGGAAATCAATCAATCAATTGGTGTCAGCTGCAGGCAAGAGGCAGTGAAAGGCCTCTGTCTTCCTGGAGAGCTTTCCAACTTCAAAACCTGTGGAGGCCCCAGGCTGGCAGGGGCTAAGTTTCATTTGCTTCCATTTTGGGGCCTGGACGCTGGGACAAATTGGGATAGAGAAACAGGGAGTGGGGAGGAGTGTGGATGGTTTCAGAGGTTTGTTCTTAGTGGAACAGGAAATGACAGGTTGAGGGTGGGGTGGCCAGTGGTTCCTGACTGTGCCTTGGCTCGCCTGGTCCACAAGTTTGCCTCCTCAGGAAGCACAAGGAGGCTCAGCGGGGACAGGAGGAGCAGCAGGGACTCGGGCGCTCATCATAGGCTATTTTACCCACTAGGTTGAACTAAAGGAAAAAAAAAAGTAGGGGGGGGTGAGGCTGAGCTTTTGAAAAATGCGGGAGACTTTGTTATTTGCAGAGACAATTCCCCTCAAGACCGAGGGTCAGAACCCAGAAAGACACCAGGAACTATATCCATCTGGTGTAGTCATGCCAAAGTCATGCCTGGCCAGGGACCATCAACTCGGGGTCCTGGAACACCTGTCCCTGGGCATCTCCCATTCTGTCAACTAGAGTCAAAGGCTCTCACAGGCCTGGACTGGCACAGCTTCCCTGGCATGCAGGCCCCCAAATACCTTTACCAGGGACACAACTTTCTCCCCAGCCAAGACCTGTGCCTTCTAGCTTTCGCTCCACGAAGACTGAGAAACTTAGCATTTCTCCTAAGAAGGGAAAAGAACTGCATCTTTGGAGGAAACAGGAAGAGTTGTTTTTATTAAAGGAAAAAAAAATGTTGACTGGGATGCAAATGCTCTTGGGTTTTGACCTGAACTGAGACCTATACCCAGCATGGGGAACTCTCTGGAGAGATGCTGCTGCTGAGGGCTTGAGAGGGGAACATCTCAGAATGTGTTTTCCCTGTAGGTCACACTGCACAGACATGGGGTCCTCCCTTCCACCAGGTACTCATCTCTCCATTCTGTAGCAGGGGGAGGTTCTTGGGTGCTCACCCTGCAGTGTGTCAAGTCTCTCCTGCAGCACAGTTGTTTGTGCCCCTACTTCCCTCCAGGAGTAGTTAGGGCTGGTGATGTGTTTGTAAAGTAGGGTTAACTTTTGCCCAAGCAAACGGGCAAGACTTCTTCCCAAGCAGACTCAGTTCTGCAGGACCACTGAATGGATCTCAGTCTAAGCTGCCTGATGGTCAGCAGGTCTAGGGGGCTTGGATACCATTTATTTGAATACAGAACCAGTTGGGATGGGATGGTGGGGCCTGGCCAGCTCCCCATTTGCCCGACGAATGGTGAATTTGGCTTGGACCCCATGCATGGAGTATAAGGTGAAACTAGGTGGGTGTCAGGCAGGGATATAGATTCTAGGCCGGCATTCCAGGCTGAGGTGAGCTTCTTCCTTGGCTGAGAAGAGCTTTGGTTGTTTCTGACTGATGGCTGACCCAAGTTCCATGTTGGGTGAGTTGTTTACTGTCTTAGGCCTGGCCTTGGAAGTCTATAGGAAAGGGATATGAGGCCTATTCATATGCCCTAGATTGGTGTACCTGAGGCAGGTACCCAACTGTTGACCATGAAACAAGCAGTGCTGATACTGGCCCAGAAGAAGGCCCACATTTCCTTTCTCTCTCTTAGTGAGGCCAGAACTTTAGGGGAGGTGAGGCAGTGGGGTCTCATGGCTCCCCATAAAACAAACCCAACCCTAGCAGTAAAGAGAACAGGACACAGCCCTGGGGTACATGTTTATGTGAGTAATAAAATATTTACTATAACATAAATATAAAGGGAACTTCCCAGTCTACATTATTTTTTTGCAATAAAGATACAAAGAGAATGCACCAAAACATTATTCCAAAAAATAATAAAAATAAAATAACAAAATTTAAGGTCAAACCATGACAAACTAAAGAAGAAAATGGAAGGGGGAAGCTCCAAACACATCCAGAAAATAAATAGAGATGGGTCAGAATTCAGGAAATCATATTAAAATATCTTTTTCGGTTTAGTCGGGCGTACAAAACCCTTTAGGATGGGGAGGGAGAACAACCCAGAAAACCAAAAATAAAAACCAAGCACAAAATGTTTCTTTTCCCCGCCAGTGTGTACATATCTCACATATTTACATGGTTCCCACCACACCCCAAATTTGGAGAATTTCTCTCCTAGGCTCCCCCAGCATCCCGGATCCTGAGGGGGCTGGAAAGAGAGCAGGGCAATCGGCAGGGAATCAGGCAGAAGGTTCTTGGGGGAACGGCTTATTTCTAACAGCTGGTTAAAAAATAGTTCCAACTTTTCCAAGTTTCGTTCGTTAAGGCCAGGAGGGGCAGGGTCCTGCGGGGAAGCAGCCACCCGCGGTGCGGTGCTCGGTCTACGGGTGAAGCTTGGTCCCACCCGGGTGTGCGTGGGAACGCAGACCCTCTCCACTAGGCCGGAAACCGAGCTGAGGGCTCGGGTAAAACGAAACGAAAAATGAACACTCGAAAAAAATTATTAGTTTTTTTTTTGTTAGTTTTTTTTTTGTTTGTTTGTTTTGCTTTCTTGGGTAAGTGGGAAGGAGAGGGCAAGAGAAAGGGAAAATAAATTAGGCTAGATTAAAGCTTTGGCTATTTCCTGCTTTTATACACAGATGCGGCTCTCGCGGCCTCCCCTCCGGGGCCCCGATAAATACAGTATACAGCGATTTAAATTAAGGGCGCGGGCGGAGTTAGAAGGACCCCAGGAGCCGAGAGGCTCCACGAATAAATAAAAACCTTAAAAAAACCAAGCCCGGAGAAAGGCGGAGGGGGGTGGGGCGCATCCTGGTGGGAGAGAAGAGGCGCGGAGAGAGTAAGTGACAGTCCCCCACCCTTGACTCGCAGGCTCCAACGTCCGCGCCCCGGAGAGCGGCGGGGGGCTCTCCTCTCTCGGTCCTCTCTCCCGGGGAGCCCTAACCCCGCAACGCGTTACCTGTCGCTGTGGGGAGGCCGCTGCCGGGATCCGGCCCCGAACAGCCCGGGGGCAGGGGCGGGGGTCGTTGAGGGGTTGGGGACAGGGAGCAGGCGGCGGGCAAAGGATGCCCGGGGTGAGTTGGCACGTTCCGGATCTTCGCTTCTCTCCTCAGGGGAGAATGTATTGGGGGGGGGAGTAGAATCTGGCGAAAACCTCTCCGCCGTTCTTCGCTGCTCGCCGGAGAGAGGGTCGGTCCGGGATGTTTGGTTTTGTTCGAAAGTTTCTGGGCCTTTTCTTTCTTTCTT